CCCCCCTCCCCCCCACATCCATCAGTCCTCAGTTTTTGTCAGCATTCAAGAGTCTCTCATGGTTTGCCTCTCTCCCTTTCCCCCACCATTTCCCCCCTTCTTCTCCCCCTTGTTCCTCCATCAAGTTCCTCCTTATCCTCCTATACGTGCAAACATATGATATTTGTCCTTCTCTGCCTTCTTGGTTTTTAAAATAAGGTTTATATACAGCGTGCCTGAGAGGCTTCAGTCGGTTGAGCATCTGACTTTGGCTCTGGTAATGAACTCGCCCGAGTTTGAGCCCTGCATTGGGCTCTGTGGTGACAGCTCAGAGCCTGGAGCCTGTTTCAGATTCTATGTCTCCCTCTCTCTCTCTGCCCTTTCCCCACTTGCACTTTGTCTGTCTGTCTCTCTCTCAAAAATAAAAATAAATATTAAAAAATTTTTAAAGAAACTTTACATATATATATATATATATATACAGGTGTACACATAAACATAAACACACACACAACAGACACACAGACACCATCCTAAACAATATTTTTGATTTTGATTGAATAGTATTAAAACAAAATTCTCATGCAAATAGTATGTTTCAAAGTTTAACTGTTATGGAGAATGCCACAAAGAGCTGGTTTTAAGAGGATTTAAAGACTATATGTAGTCCACAGGGAAAGGAATGCCTGAACAAAAATGCCAAGTTAGATATAATTGGCTAATGTTCCACACAGCAACAGAATCCTAATGTTTTCAGGATTATTCTTGCCTACAAGCTCTAAAAATCGTAACACCTTATTAATTTCTCCAGTTAAACTCAAACCTTATAGGACTATAAACCGTGTCTTTATTAACAGTGGATTTTTCATTAAATAAACTGATAACAAAGTTCCTTTCCCCAGAGTGCAGATGAATTCCAAGCAGGCTTATTAGAAAACACTAGAGCTTTCTAAATTTGAGATTAAAATTCTGTTTTACATTGTAAGCACAAACCTGAGCGTGTAAGGAAAGGACGATATTGTCACTATTCGATGAAGTGAAAAGGGAAAAGGTGAGCAGAAGAGAGTGGCTTCAGCTTTCCTGACTGTTTACACGGGGGCTTCCTCTGGAGGTTAGTGAGTGGTAACATGAGTGAGTCCTAGGAAATGGGGTTCACCACAGTGAGGGCACCTGGAACGCTCTAGTGTGGACCCCACACAGGCACACCTTGTTTTATTGCGCTTTGCAGATACTGCCTTTTTTTTTTTTTTTTAAACAAAGTGCAGGTTTGTGGCAACCCTGTGTGGAGCAAG